CATTGCATTTTAAATTTTTCGTTAACAGAAGGTGACAGTGACACGTCAACGGATCAACTCTTCTGTAAACATAAACAGAAATCAGAGACTTAGATGAAATTTACCTAGCGAGAGCAGGGTAAAAGCGGTCAGCTAAGAGTGACAGTGCGGAGTACTTGACGATCGGAGAAACTTCCAGCAACTAATTTCAGAGCAAAAGGGACAAAAATTTAAAATCAGTTAAAACTAAAATTAATCTAAATATTCCTGTGTACTATAGGCTACTTACGTGAGCTGATTGAATGAGGAACTCGATTACTCTGGATCGCAGACATGAGCATTGCTGGCTTCTCATTTCTGGAGGAATAGAGTGAGGCAGTTTAAAAATGAGTAATGTGCCGATTTGAAAATCTATATATACGTGGCGCGCAAAGGTATAATTGGGCCCAACTCTGAACGTATTCGATTCGTGTTGGAGGTCATAAGGGCTGGACAATCCAGTGTATGGGCCCAAACGACCCATCTTCTTCCTGCCCATTTGACAGGATTTCTATTTGTGGAAATTATATAGAACCAGATTTTATAAGTTACAATTTCAAAAATTAGATCACAAGTTTGTTTATACAAAAATCAGACGATAATTCAATATTAATAATAATATTATAAAATTAAATTAACTTATGAACAACCCTACCTCCATCCACCCCACCTCATTTCCCCAAACCCTAAAATTTCATTCTTTCCCTACCTCTCATCTCTCTCATCGTCATCGGCATGGCACCAACGCTCACAACGCGCGAACGTCGCTCGTCACTATAGAGCTTATTTGCATGAGTTTTGCTTTGTTCGGTGGTTTGATTGTAGCTTCACCTTGATCCAATCTGCTAGAGTTTTGTTTTGTACGGTGGTTTGAGCGTCACCTCGATTCGTTCTAATGGAGTGGTGGTTTGCTGCATCGGCGCCTTTAGCGCAACCGCATTGGGTGGTTTGTGATGTGAGGGGCGATGATGCTATGAGGGGCACTTCATCATTACACAATGGTGATCTCTGTGTGTGTGATAGAAAAAGGGATGAAATCTATGGTGGTGCGATGGTGATATGTGCATACAGTGTTGGGTGGTGGTGATCTATAGCGGCGATAGCGCTGCACAGTGGTTGCTGCGCAGAGAGGTTGCGCTTCAGATCGCGCCTACAGAGGCCCAAATGGTGGTGGCGACGTAGATTGCGGTGGTGATGATTTTTTTTTTTTTTGTTGGATAGGTGTTGGTGGTGGCGGCGGTGGCAGCGACGGTAATAATGATGTTGGTTGCAGTGTTTGAAATGATGATTTTGTTGTCGGGAGGTGGTGGAGATGGTTTTGGCCGTGGTGATGTAGCTGGTGGTAGTGATGAGGTGGTGGTCACGTATGATTTGATTGATGTATGATCAATAAACAATATGTGACCATTAAATAATGCGTGACCTAAAAATTTGTTAATTTGTGACTAATAATTTGATAATTTGTGACCTAAACATAATTTATGGTCGATTAATTTGATATTTTGTGACTTATAAACTTTGTGATTTGTGACCCAAGAATAATATGTAACCTATTAATTTGATAAGTTTGTAATTGTGAAATAATTTGTAACTTATAAAAATTTTAATTGTATCGAGAAATTATTTATAAATAATTAATTTGATAATTTGTGACCAAATTGTATATAATTGTGACATTATATTTAATTTTTAAATATACTTTTAATTAATTATTCGAAAATAAAATTTAAAAAATTTTTGATTTTTGAAATTTTAAATCTTTTATCTTAGTTTTGAAATGAGTTAACCACATGAAGCGCTTTCAAAAAAATTATTCAAATAGATTCAAAACCAATTTCTTAATCTCAAAGCAACTTTTGACTTTTCAAAACACTGTCAAATGGGCCCTCAGTATTTAGGGTTATTGAGAAGCAATCGCCGTGTTTAAAAAACTTAACTCATTTAAATTAAAAATAATTTTGTTATCTAGTTTCAATTAAGGTAAATATTATGCCCTATTTGGTAGAAATTAAAATCGAATTTTTAATAGATTTTGATAAAAATTGATAGAATGTGTAGTTGAAAAGTTGTAGATCATATGAAATGTATGGTTAAAACTAATTATTGATTTTAATTTGAATCATATTTTTTTAGCGATACTGAATAGGGACTATATATGTTTTGGTTACATGAGGTCTTTTGGTAATTTTGTAGAAGAGGAGTTTGAAATAGGTTGTCACTGTAAATAGATATGATTATAGTTTATTAAGAGAATGTTTGATTATCATTAATTAAGAAAAAAATGAGTTTTGAATGGTATTTTTAAGAGATCGTGTGGTTAAAAAGTATGAAATTTTTTTTTCGTATAATTATATAATATTTTATTGTATGAATGTGTAATAAAAAATGATCATATAGTAAAGCATAAAATAAATTAATAGGTGTCAAACAGACACTAAAATACAACAAACTCTCTAAACATGAGAGAGAGAGAGAGAGAGAGAGAATCAATGCTTGAAAATAAGTTCCGAACGACTCTTCATTCTTTTCTTACTTTATATTGATTACATTTAATAAATTTATTAAAGTATTCAAGTTATAATCGAAATGATTGGCTTTGACATATAAAAAATATGTCTAAGAAAGGAAGATGAAAATCAATATATGTCTCAAAAGAAAAAATGAAGAGTCAAAATATAAAATATTGTTGGGGTGTATAAAAAATTTTCTATTTAAAAATAGAGTTTCTTGGATATGCTGACATGTACATGTGATTGAAGGGTAGTGGTGTAAATTTTCCTAAACGACTCAGACATGTCGATCCAACAATACCTTGGTTGAGTTTAAATTATAAATAGATGAAAATGAATGATGAACAGGTGTAACATACCCCTAAAAATGCGAAGATAAAAAAATATTTGAGCTTGTAAGCACGAACCAATAATAGGCACAGTTTCCAAATAAATGCTTAAAAGCTTGCCATATGATCACTCTATTACCTTCCATTTTTTCTCTTTACAAAGATTTGGGAAGCGTGTATAAACAATTTAAAGTTTAAATAAATAGATACGATTGATGCATAAATGAGTAATTTATTATGGATTCCACGAAACATATAAATAAATAACAAATTCATCAATTGTAAATTTGTAAACCGTTTATAATTAGCCAAGAATACAAAACAATACAAGAGTACATCTTTGAATTAAAACAAGAAAGCGCAGAGTATAAACACCCCCAAAATGGGAAAATATAATAGTATAATTATCAGAACCAATTAAAAAATATAGTAATGATAATGAGAAAAAATTAACGAGAAGACCTTTTCCAAATTTATCCATCAAGTAAAATGGAAACGATCATTGATAATGCTGAAAGTAGGGCTGTTCGTGNGCTAACAATTCTTGTGAAGAAATTGAGGCCCAAAAACCTTGACTAATATATAAAGTGAAATAAAAGGTGCATGAAAACACATGCAAGACTATCTTTTACATTTATGGCCGAAAATTAATGATCACTTGTTAAAATTGTAAAGCCCGTCTTTCGCTAATGTGGGTAGGTGGCAAAAAGGCTGATAAATAAGTAACACAAAATTGTGTCATTCTCACTGTTAAAATTTAAAGTTTCATCTTAAAAAGTCAATCTTATTAAGAGGAGTAGCACAAATTTTTATAAATTGGTCTATGTTTTCATCTTTATTCGATGTGAAATTTTATACATTAACATGTCTCCACAAGATGGTGACTCATTTGATCAGACAAATCTTGAAATTCGAGTGCTCAATTTTTTGAGTTTTATTCGGATCGAATTATTCGTTGGAGTTTAATGGGTTCTAATATCATGTTAAGATTTGAGGTTCCATTTTAAAATATCAACCTTATCAGGAGGAGTTACTTAAACTCTTATAAATTAATCTATATTTTCATTTTTATTCTATTTGAAATTTTATCACTTAGCACTGACTTCTTGTCTTTTTTAGAAAAATCTGCTAATGTCGTGCAGGATTGGGGACAAAATCCCAACAAATCTTTTACATTAATAGACGCTTTGAGATGTGGGCAATTTGTAATATATCACTTTATTATATTTGGTTGACCATTGCTTTTTTTTATTGGATAAGATTGCGTCTCACAATAACAGTATCCAAAGTATAATTAATTTTTTAAGGGTTATATTTTAAATATTTTTTACCATAATCAAAATATTCCCTTTCACAAATCATTAAAAATGTTTACAACCCGTTACAAATACTCTAAAAAAATTACTTTAGTTTACTCAATCATATCATTAATAAATAATCTCAAAAAATCGTGGAAATATTACAGATAATATTATAAAATTATTTACATTACCGAACCTGCATTTTATCACCTTCCAAGTATACATAAATAAGTTTTTCAAACGTGTAACTGAAAAATGTCTTTATTTTAATTAGAGGACGGACTATTCACATTTCATTTGATTTGATGGTGAGATCTAATCAACATGCCTATCAATGAAGAGTTATCAGCATATTTCATTTTTATCTAATCGGTACAAAACGCTATAGTTTTAGTCATTTGTACAGAAATTAAGCCAAGGAAATGCGCCAGAAAACTCACAAAGGGGTGGGCCCCACTATGTATTAAAAATAAATAAATAATGTGCGGGCCCCACGTGGTGTGAGTATTTTGGTCCATTTCTGTTGATTTTCCCTTTTGTATGTGTAGTGTGTTTCAAACGCTATTCATATTCTTGAAAAAGAATAAAAGAAAATTGGTTGAATAAATAAAGGGAAATTATAAAAAATCAGGTGTTTAAAGATTAGAGTGCAAAAATCAGGTGAGAAGATTTTTTAATCAAAATTCAAGTATTGATTTAAAACTTAAATATTATTCCCACCCTACCCACTCTCAAACCCTAAATCATTTTTCATCTACCTCTCATTCTCTCCTCGTCTCTCTCTACCCTCTCCATTTTCTTTAGATCGTCGTCGCCCTTGAGGAGCTCTCGTCGCCAAAGAGTCAAGCAGTGGTTTCATCGCTGATGTGCTGCGCCTTCGAGGACGCTGCTTCATTCAGTGACGCTGATGTGCCCCACGAAAGGCACACATCTCGTGACGCTGCTCCTTTCAGGAACGCCAGCGGCGCGCGACGCTGTTCCTTTCGCGGGGTCCGACGCTTCATTGCCACTGAATGGAGCAGCGTCGCGACGCGACGATGCCGTTCGCCACAGTGTCGCGCGACACTGGCGTTCGTGGGGTGTGTGCCTTTTGTGGCTGCCGGCGAGTGTGTGTGTGTGTGTGTGTGTGTGCTGTGAACCACAGCCGGCGGAGTGGATGTGGTGTTTGACTGCAGATGTGGTGTGTGGTGGGTTCAAATTTGGTTGGTAGTGGTGTTGATAGTCTGTGGTTGAATGCTGCGGTGGGTGTGGGTGTGGGTGGGTGCGATGGTATTGGCGGTATGGGTGTGTGGTGGGTTGGTAGGTTCAGATCTAGTTTGATGGTGGTGTTGACAGTGGTGATGTTGTGTTCGTGGTGTTGTATTGTTATTGTTGGCGGTGGCGGTGGTGGCGGTGGGATGAAGTGTTTGTGATTTTGGTTTTTTGACTAAAAATATAATCTGTGACCAACCATTTTTTTATCTGTGACCTAAAAATTATATAATCTGTGACCGTAAAAAATCTGTGACCAATTAATTTGGAAATCTGTAATTGTGTGACCTATAAATTTTGATCTGCGACCAACTAATTTTGAAATCTATGACCAACGAATTAATTGTGATCTATAAAATTTTTGAGCTGTGACCGTAAATTGTATATCTGTGACCAGAATGGTCACCGGAATAGTCGCCGGAATTGGAGCAGTCGCCGAAATGGTCGCCTGAGAAGAGTAGTGGTCGGAATAGTCCCCGAATCAGTATAGGTGGTGCATGTGGGATGGGTTAATTATATTATATTAGAATTAAATATTTAATAATAAATTGATTTAATGATTTATTATTTCATAAATTAAAAAAAAAAAAACCTGATTTTTGAATTTTCAAATTATAAACCTGATTTTTGAATTGGTGTAAAGTATACACCTTATTTATGAATTTTTCCCTTTATTTAATTAATTTGCTAATTTGTTTAGAAAAAAATAAAATAATTTAATTAATTCAATATAAAAATTAAAAAAATTATTTATTTTCGGTTCTTATTCTATTTTTCGGTTGTTGGTTTAGATCCGAAACCCGACCCAAATCCATTGGTTCTTGATTCGGGTAACCGTTCAGGTATTTAACTTATGAAGAACCGCTCGGTTCGGTTCGGTCCGATCCGATTCGGTTTGAGACTTTTGGACACCCCTAGCTGAAAGCGAGAAACATTGCTAGACTTCGAAACAAACAGAGAACAAAATTTAACACCAGATTTTGTGAGCCCCAAATGCCTTGACAATTTAAAATCATGGATCATGACAGAAAATTAATGAACTAAAAAGTACAAAGTAAACCTCTGCACCAGGCCGCCAAATATATACATTTAAAACAGACCAGATGCAGCAGCAATCCAGTTGTCGTATCCACATCATAAATCTACCTGATGATCACAAACTTGTTGGTACCATGTTTTGCCCAGTACATCTTCAGATCAATTGGGTTAGCAAAGTTATAGCCTTCTGATGCGAATTTCTCCAAAACCTTCTTGAAAGCACCCTGACTCATCTTCCGTCCAGCAATTCTTGCTCCACGTCTTTTCGTATTCATTGGCAAGGGATATATTGATATGGTTGTGGTGCAACAGGCTGACTGCCAACCACCAAATCCCCATCGATAACATTGTTGGGGAGTGCCGGTACATGAGCAAATGGGAATTGGAATACCAGAAATATCCATATCAATTCCATTTATTATAATGTCTACATTCTTCTTTGAAGTTTTAGCACGCTGAACAGAGGAGTTACCAATTTCCTTAGGCAAAGAAGGACCTTTCTTTGACTTCTTCCCCTTGGAGAGTTTTGGAACAGCAGCAACTGATCTCTTCTTGGCAGGGACATCTTCCTTCTTAACACCTGGATCCTCGACAATCACCCTTGCCTCTGGGGTTGAATCGGGTTGTTGAAGCATCTGCATGGAATGATGAGTTCTGGAAGTGTCCATGAGGACTGGGTTATACAGATTCCCTGGAAACGTATGTAGGAATTTATCTGTGTGGTTCATCCAACTGTCTCTAACGTAGTCCAAACGTGTGACTGGTGGTTCTGTAACCACGCAATCCCGGGGATAGAAAGGTCCATTAGCTGCAACCATAACAGGATTATCACGTCCGGTACTGAAGGCCAAGATGCCCTTTAAGGGAAGGTTCATAATAACCCCAATTCCTCGTGCTCAATCCTCCGTCATCCATTGAGCTACAAATAACACCGTATTCATTAAGCCCTTTCCGTAATTCCAGTTAACCATTATTGCTATTGCATTCGTGATTTTCGATACAACTAACAAAAAGGCTGCCCATGAAAACCAAGCAGCAAATACAATAACTACAGGAATCAAAATTCAAGCAGACCAAGGCACCAAGTTTCCCTAAACACGATGTAACCAATTCAACAGATCAAATCATACAAACTCATAATTTACATTTCGAACATCGATCAAAGTAATTTAAAAATTAAAACCACACAAGGCTCATGAGATCATAAGCAACCAAAACCATGAACACAATTGAGTTAATTTGAGAAAATGGGTAATCAATTGCAAAAAGAAGATTTTCCACTTTTTCTGACTCAAATCAGATAAAATTATTAGAGTCTCACATTGATTGGTAATATTTACATGATCCCATTAATAAGGTGAGGGCATTTCTTCCATAACAAGCCGGTTTTGTTAGGTTGAGTTAAACTCAATATCCTTTCTAATATGGTATCAGAGCAGACCCAGTTTTTCAATGTTGGGTGCACCCAATATCGATTTGTTCACAGTTGTTTGGCATGATCCACGCCGTGCGTGAGGGGGCATATTAGAGTCTCGCATTGACTGATAATATTTACATGATTCACCTAATAAGGTGAAAGCAATCCTCCCCTAACAAGTCGATTTTGTTAGGTTAAGTTGGACCAAATATATTTTCTAATAAAAATGTAAATCTACCCAATAAAAAAAACGATCTAAGATAATAACTAACAGGTAGAAAATGATCAATAAAAATGCTTCAGCTCATAAACATCGCAACACGTGAAGATTCCCAACAAAAGCTTCGACATTTTAGTATTTTAAACACGGATCTGAAACAAAATGACTCACAGAAAAATAGATCAATTGTAATGATTAAAGCAAGTATGCTATAAAAAAATCAGAACACAAATGACATTAAGAATACATTTTTTTAATTATGCAAGAATATATCAAAACAAAAGGGAGCAAATATTCAGATTTTAGCTGATGGTCACGGATGGAGGGTCCAGATAATTTTTTTATGGAAAGAGAGAAGGTTCAGAGTGAGAGAACATACTTGTGGGTAAACAAGATTTCTTAGGGCTTTTTGCCCTTATCGAGAGAGACGGGCGTACACATGTCAACGAGTCGAGCCGAGAGCTAAAACTTAAAGCTCGGGCTCATCTCGAGCAAAATAAGTTCGAGCCAAGCAAAAGTTCGAGCCTTAGCTAGCCGAGCCGACCTGAGCCGGCTCGTGTTTCTTACTTTTTTTTTGTTTAAATTCATTATAAATCTATAATTTTTTATAATATATTCAAAATTTGTGTAATTTATACGTGTTCTAAATAATAACTATATATTAATATATTAAAAAATACATCTAAACTTAAAAAAAAATTAAAAAAAAAGACTATCTGCGTGCTGTCACATCTGCCTGCTTTTTGAAATTTTTTTACTAAAATACTCGGCTTGGATGATCCACGGTCTAGCTCGAGCTCGAGCCGACGCCCCAAAATGAGGCTTGGGCGACCGCCGAGCCTTTTCGACACTGCTAGACATGCATCAAAGACTGGAGAGGAGAGATACATGAGAGGAGAAGTCTTGAAAGTTAAAAAGGTAAAACTCAATTTCTATCGTAAACATTTTCCACGTTTAAAACAGGGTAAATAATACTCAGGATCCTTATGCTCTAAACCTTGTCATGATGGAGTTCTAAATCTTTGATTTCTAGTACACGGAGGCGTGAGCCTATCAACATTTTCTCCTGAAGTCCTTTTTGTGATAGAAATCATTGGTGTAACCGTTAAAAGCTCAAAATTTGAATAAAATAATGATTATATACCCTTAATTTTTTTTATTTAAAATCATCAAATAAATCTAAAGAAACGAAAAGGAAAATAAAAACAAAAATGATAATGAATAAGAAAGAGAATTTTTTTTTTGAAACATCCCCATCCAGGGACGAAGTCAGGACTACTACGATCAAGTGGGAGCATATATATTTTTAAATAAGGCAATAACACAAGAATTATAAAATTATTACAATTTTCTGCTATAAATTGTTCTTTTTTTATACTTTGCATATTTAATACAATGATCTACTCAAGGTTAAGAGATAGAGACGTGTGATAAAAGATTGTTAATTTTTGTGCCTAATCCTATTCAATATATGGTGGTGGATGATGGTATAAAAATTGGGCACAACATTCTTTATTCTAGCCAAACAATTCCTTGTATATAAACATATCGAAGTCAACCTTTAGATCATTAATTAGTTTACTTCTATGTATTAATTCTCTATCTTGTATCATCAATCAATGCACAATTAGACCATCCCTCAAAACTTACTTCTCATATTTTATAAAGGATTTTGGCTTACTACAAATTATGTGGGAGTGAAGATTGCTTTCAACCACCTAAATATCTATCTTCTCATCTTCTAACTTTTCTTGGCGTCGCTCATCAAAGCCTTAAACATGGGCTAAACCCAAAAATCCAAATACCACTTTTTCTACGTCTTCACCTTGTATCGATTCTCTCATCGTCAATCAAACACAAAATCAGATCCCACCTCTAATTCGTTAGCCAAACCTACCTCAATTTCCTTGTTGGAAAAATTTCAACATGTGGGGCCACACA